CAAACACTGTCATATAAAAGGAAAAAGAGGAAGTAACAGAACTTATATTTTTATGGACAGTGTATTTTTTATGTAAAAAAAATTATCTACCTTTGCGAAGCCAGAAGCCAAAAAGGAATCATAGCCAATTCAAATGAAAGCAGCACGATAAGCAAGATAGACTCTTTGATCTTTGCTCTGACATTTCACAGACTTAATAAATATTTAAGGCCAGAAAGAGGGCAATAACAGTACCTGAATGAAGGTTCTCTGTGCCGTGGATCATATCCTCCGGGCAATAAGTGCTTTTCATTTGAACCTTCAGGTAGAAGTTTGTTAAATCCGGCCAGCAATCTAGAATCCTTTGGTTCATCTAAACCACCTCTAGCAGGCGACACATTAGCTTGGAGTGAATCATCCTCGGACTCGGAAGTAGAACTACCATCTTCCTGCAGGGAATGATTGCGAATTTGCAAGTGGTTAGGTTCTTGAGCAACTTCACTTGCATTATCTGTTCGCTTTGGTGGATTGGGTCGATTTTCATCTTCTTCTGTAATATCTTCAAAATGCTCAAGATCTTCATCAGCAGACTCACTCTGAAGCATCATGTTCCTGCATGAAAAAGGTAAGACATTTCATGATGCAAGAAAGATCCTTTAGCCATGTCGTAAACTTCGTCAATGGCAACATACTATTTCTACAACCCTACCAGAGAGTTGGTCTGGACTTGAGGACCTCAGACAGAAGAAACAGACACCCACATGCATATTGAGGCTGCTGCTGAATTGCAACCTGTTAATACCAGACACTCCATAGTAAGGTGTAAGAACAAAAACAAATTCTCAAGAGGGCAAAACTAGTATGTGGGTTTTTTAAATCAAATAAAATGGAAATTTAAGCACAGGACCAAAAGAGTACGCTCCTTGATGGGAAAAAAAAATACATTATACAGCTTTGAGTAGCTTCTTTTTCCCTAAACTATGTTTGAATCAGTGTGGTTCTTCAGTGAATTCGGAATAGCTATTTGATAGTCTATCACACAAATTTATATAAAACCAATGGAAGCCTAAACTTGATATACTTGCAGGAGAATACTTGACAAACATCTGCCTCAAATTAAATACACCTAGCGTACTTGCTCTTTCTATATTGCCAACATTGCAAGATTTCACATAAAAACAAATTTACACCTTGAACAAACCTGCAACAATCGCTTTGAGAATGCAGCAACTCGCTTCACATTTACATCATTTTTCATAGCCCTTAGTAGCAGGCCAATAAACATTTCCTCCTGCAGATAAAACCAGAACATGCTCAGACATAATCAGGTAAAGATTAAGGTAGCAAAGAAGAAAAACAGCCATTTCACTTAGGTTAGATCCTAACTGAAGCGCAATTGGTCATCAATTGAATGAATACAGGTCATAATCAGCATTGCCAAGTGATGCATTATGACAAAATTTAGTTCAAGACAACAAGAACTCTTCCATATGTTTTCCATTGTCAGCAGGGAGGGGGTTGCAGCAGAAGTACAACTAAGGCTGGAAGTACTAGAAGAAATAATGTCTGAAGTTCCAGGTCTGATAAAACTTCTTTTAAGAAAGCAAATGGGAACTTTATCATGTAACCAGGTAAAGTAGTAGCAAACTTCAGAAAGGAGGAGGACCTAATTCCTCACAACTTAACTTTCTCAAGATCTGTGACAGAAACAGCAACATGATGCAGCTACTAAATTCAGGGAAGGCCAACTTTTACAGCTCACTTTATACATCAATAATATTAGCTTCACAATCATATGGCATATGACATCCATAAAAGTTGCTCTGTATATTCATTCCCTATGACTTCGATTTTCTTGGTGTTGGGGCTTATTTCCTCTATAAATCGAAGCATGTGTGCTGCAATGACTACCTTAGTTCCTAATTATGAATGTTTATGGCTTTCTTCAGAGAACATTTTGCAAACAAAATATGGATGCTTCACCAGAACTTTAGTTCCTTTGACTCTTGGAATTTACAGTTTTTCTAATCTCACTTACCTTCTCTGCTTGATATTGTTTTCAAAATGAAGGTATCTCTAAACCATGGCATTATTGCAAAAGTTACCTAGTAATGACCAAGCATGTTACGGTTAGATATTTAAGTCTAAATTGTGGATAAACGTTATACTCGATGTAAGAGCTTCATCAATATGTCACCACTATGGTAGTCCACTATCCTACCATCAAAAGTTAGAGAGAAAATTTGAATAATGGGTCACCGGAACAAGAGCCATGCTATCCGTCAAAGTTTTCAACAAAGAAACTAACATAACATAAAAGTGAGAAAAGAGTTGTATCCAAGACTCTAATACAGATCTCAACAGCCAGCCATCAATTATTTGATTTTCACAACCCCCTTCATGCGCAAGAACCCATAATTCATACCAGCCTCAGCCAACAATGAAAAAAGCAAGTAAGAGGTTAGCTCAAGCAACTGCCTCCCCACTTTCTTGCAAATTCTGCGGGCCATAACATTGACGACTGTTTCATAGCTTTCTCCGAAGTTGGGAATGGAAAAATGGATACCACCAAGATAAGCATCATTTAATCTTCAAACTTGCTGAACCTAAGTATCAACCTTGAAAAACCAATCCATAATCCTAATTATAATCATTAGTCACATCAAATCGCTAAGTACACTATATGTCTTTGATCCCAATAAGATTGCAAATCAAGTGTGCATCTAAAGCTTGTACAGACAAGATCAGATACCAAAGATTACAAAAGAAAAGGAACTAGAAGCAAGAGCAGGACCACACAGATCTTGACCTCAGCAATGCCAATACAGAGGTTAATCTACCACTCTCTCTTTCTTTCCCTACCCACCCACCCCCCAAACCACAAAAACCTAAACAACAGATGTGTTAATTGAAGACAGTTCAAACTACTATCACCCTGCACGGTTCGAGGGGGAGAAGGGAATTCTTGCAGTGTATTTTGTTTGTCCTATCAAAAAAGCTTAAGCTGAACCAGAAAGCACAAAAAATAATTATGAAGGTTTCCACATACTTTGGAAGAATTCATTGCAGCTGGTAGCAGGAGCTTAGCATGCAAGGCACGATAAAATCGATCACTAACAATGTGATTTTTTGCTGAGATCTTATCTAGGAGCATGAGAGCTTGAACTCCAACATTAAAGTTACTTGAATGAACCTGCACATCCCAAGCAAATTATAAAATGATAAATCTATTCAACAACGTCAGATACTTATCCAACAATCGAGCGAGCAGTCATCCACAAGAACGTCATGACCAATATCATATATCAGAGCTTACCAGCTGAAACAAGACGGGTGTATGGGCCTGAATTAGATCATCGGCTTTATCACTTGAAACAAAAGGGAATGCTCTATTCACACCCTGCAAAGGAGAAAGTTGAGCAAATGAAGCAGATCACTATTTTTTCCAAACCAGCAGAAACGTGAAGCATAACAAGCACTAGTGCAAGAAGCTGCAAAGATTGAGCAAGCTCGAGGAATCATAAAGCGAAGTTGTTGGACATAGAACGTAAAAGCGGCAATGTGGTTGTATGTGGAAGAAGAAAAAGAAGCGGGGAAAGGAAATTTTTTGAAAATAATATCTTTAAAATGTAAAAACTGTCATATTATTTTTTTTTTAAAATTATAATAGAACTATTAACTTTGAAAATGTATATATTTTGATTTCAGTTCAATCCATTTACTACTATTTTAATCCAAATAGATTCTCTAATCTTAACACAAAATTGTAAATTCTGAAAGATTATATTTAAAGTCAATTTAATTAGCCCTTTCAAAGTCTAGTTTAATTCTATTGTGCTGCTCTAAAATATCGAATTTCTAGATGTGTAGTTCCTAAACTGTAATTAAATGAAACTACTGGTAGAAAAAGAGTATTAAAGTAGGGTTGGAGAAAGGAGCAACATAACGGTATTTGGGTCATTTACACTACATGCGCTCCATTCCAAATACATAAAATGGTATAGCAAGCTAATTATTAGAATGATTTGGTGCATCCCTACGTTCATTCAAGCATATACCAAGCTCTAGAATGAATCCAGATTTGTGATCCCAACCACCCATTAGACTTCACTTCGGTGTACCAGATGGGTCATCACTAATATAATTGCACTCTTATAACCTTGAATTTGTACAAGCTTAGTTCCTTGCAACCATGTACCCTAGGACTCCACGAAAAAAAGTTTACACTAGGGTTTCCCAAAAGGCTTGGCCTAGTGGTCAAAGTTATCAGCTATCTGCATAGGAGAAAGGTGGAAGGTAACCAGTGGATTACTCTACATACAAACTGGGCCAAGCACCACTGTTACAGTTGCGCTCATCTTTCAACAATAAACCTTAGTTTTTTTAATCTTAAAAGAAAGAATCCAGTAAACTATGTGAATTACCAAACATCTGCATTGCTGACTAGAGACTAAACGAGCTACCTCAATGAAACAGTTCCTAGACAGATCTTTATATTTTAACAACCACAAACCATGCAAATCCAGAAACCAAGTCGACAAATGCAACTGCTCCTTTGAGAAATAGAAGTGTTACTCTTTGTGTAATCCAGAAGAATTAACAAAAAAAAAAATATAACTACACTAGTCAACACAAACCGTAAGAAGCGCTGATAGTAAGCGTGAATCCATTTCAATATGAGATTCTGATGAATCTTTTTCTTTCTTCTCTTTCGAAGTGCCAGAAACCTCTTTATGTCCCTCGCTCTTTTTATTCATCATCCGTCCATCCCCTGCTTCAGATATTAAGACCTGAAATGTTGATTCAGGATAAAAGGAGGTAAAGAAGGATGTTGCATGAAGTTATGCAAAACACTTGATGAGCTTCAATCGTAAAAATATGAAGCTCTCAGCTCTACTAAGACAAAAGAGCAAAGATGCATAGGACTAACTTATTGGACTATGACAGCTCTAGATCATACCTTAAATAGAGCAAAATATACATCTATCAAACGCTTTGCCACCTTTGGGCCATCCCCCCTGTGACTTAAACGAACTTGGCTTAAAAAGTTAACCTGTTACAATTACAGATAAGTAGGACGTTAGGACTACATATTCTGCAACAGCAATATCTAGAGATGACGACTTTAAAACTACATATCTGCATCAGCATATTTAGAAATGTCACTAACAGCAAATTGGAGCAATAAATAAATACAACACGACTTGCCACCTGAGTTTATCGTTGTATACTTATAAACAGACTTATAAATATATTCTGATCAAATGGCCAAGTCAAGAGATTAAAGCAAAAGTAAGATTCAAAAATAGTAAAGTTCAGAAAAAGGACAAGGATCACATCAATGTGTTTACTGAAAACAAGCAAGCAGAAAAAAACCTCCTACCTAAGAACAAACCACAATGACATTTAAAATTAGGGCCTATTGGTTTGATTTATCTTAAGGAATCAGGTTTTACCGGTTCAATCAATTTCATTAAGCAGACACCAAATTTTTGGAGATATTACTTTGGGAAAAGGATTGTGTTAATCGGTTATGTTATAGTCACTTATATGCAGTAACAGTTCTCACAATCCAACCCAAACAGAAGAATTTGGATAGACACACTCTGTAGAATAAGATTTATCATATCACAAACAAAAAAAACTTGAAGAGTCAAAAGGTATTCGCAGTTGAAAACACAACCACGAAGTATCTAGTGTGACATGCAAAAAAGATAGCAATAAAGTTTCGACATACAGCATGATACTTGGCTCGCAATCCCACATGAGGCCGGAAAAGAAAATTATCAACTTCGTCAATCACCACAGCCTGCACAGTAAAACAAATAACACGTTAAACAACAAACTTTCATCAGAAAAAGTATCACAATATAAATCATAACTGCACTTCAGTAATGCTAAGGCATGTGCTTCCTAACAGCTTGTCTATAGTCCAGCAGACTCTCTTAAGACATTGATGTAATAGTACCTGCCACCAAACCATCGTGTATGCTTAAGAAATATAATCCTTATTTCAATAGGCATTTCAAGGCATAATATTCTAAAAACATAACCATTTTCAAAGAGCACATTATCCTGCTTGGTCTTATTCGAGCATCACGACTAAGTTAGATTTGTATTTGCACCAACTTCTAACAATTTGATTTGTAATGGAATAACGACTACACCCGATCTCTCCATTTTACATGGGATAGATTATGCATGAACACCATCCTTCAGATGGGCTTTCAACAAGCACTCTTGAAAGTAGCTTTTTCCTTTTGAGGGACACTCCTTGAAGCCAACTTGCAAATTTAGAGCTAACATCAGCCCAAAGCTGTTTGCTTAATTTGTTTCTTTTGAATAATTAAGCTGTTAACTTTTTTTTCTTTTTCTTTTGAATAATTAAGCTGTTTGCTTTATTATCGTGGACCTCACAACATGAAGATATACAGGCTAGATGTGATCAATATAGTAATGTCAAAGCCAACAAACGAACATTTATCAGTTTTAAAAAAAATATTGCATCACCTTTTTTTATCAGTACTTGCATGTCTAAGCATGTTCAACCAAATACTTCGTTTTACCTTCATATTTGAATGGTCAGCCAAAAGCTTTGATAGGTGATAATCAGCATTAGATGCAACCTTGTTTTTAGGATCTCCTAGCTGCAAGAAAGTGAAGAGGTATCAGCTGGAGCTCCACAGTCCCAAGAACTCTCAAGAACAAAGTAAATGGCACCAGAAGCAATGAGGTAAAACAGCACCTTGTTTACTAGGGCAGCAAGCAATCGACGCTCTTGTTCTGGTTTGCACTTAAGCAAAACATAAACTGTCTGAAAACATAAATACAAAGATAAGTATTTCCCCACTTTTTTGGATAACATAAACTTAATCGAAGTCTTCCAACATATGGACACTCAGAAAATATCAAACTACAGGAAACCCAATTGCAGTGCAGATGCAACAGCAAAATCAACACATCAGACTGAAATACCGAGTGCAAATACTATGAAAGGAGCAAAATGAGTAACTTAAAAAGCAAAATCTTGACAAGTAATGAAGCTATCCAAATTTTGTAGAAGCTTATTAACTCTATTTGGTTGAAAGTAGCGTCCATATAAATTGGTATATTCAGAGAAAAAGATCGGTGTGATCCTCCAAATAGTTTGAAAGGTAATAATAAATTATGTGTAGGTTAGCAGTTGCTGAGTTTCACTCAATTGTGGTCTCGATTTGACATTTTGAAGTCAAAAGTAAGACTTTCTTAAAAGTAAAGCATAAACTACATTGTGATAATAAGTTTGAACTTCCTAATGAGGTTAAATGAAAGGGGAGTCGCACATGGTCACCAGTGAGTAGGGAAAATAAGCAGTTCAATTGGCTAGCGTAAAGAGCAAGAAGGAATAAAAGTTTCTCTCACGAGTCATTCTTTTCTCCTTTTCTAAGAGACAATTAGCTAAAAAACGTTGAAGAAGAATTTGCTTTGAGGAGAAACATAGATAGGCAACTATACAGATGTACAATAAAACTGTCAATAACAACCTTTAATGCCTTGTCTTTGAGTATATCTAAGACATCTCTTGACGCTTCCTCAAGAGAAGCGATATACCGCTCATACCTGAAACAGAAAACCTTATTCAGCTGAAGATCAACATCTTTTTTTTATATGGGAGAAAACCTTATTTAGTTGAAAATCAACACGGTAACAAAATAAACAAGCATATAATAAAGTGAATTATTGAAAAAAGATTCAAACACGTTCTCTGAAATCATCAAATCAGGAACATTTAGAGTTCTATCAAATATATCCTAGTGCACAATGTCCATTCCCCACATTGATGGTATCATGACATTAAAAGCACATGAGACCTATCAACCTAAAACTTATGGTCATGGTCAACCTACCACCCACATCCATAATAACTCGTATACCTACAAACTACCAACCATGAATGCAGCAGATAGGAGTAAGCCTGCTCGATTACCAAAAGGAACAGAGGAGTCCCACTTAGGTATCTAACCCTTTCTCTGATGCACTAAGATGAGGAAAGACCACTCAACAGCCATCAACCATGCAGGGCTATGGGTCAACTTGGGACACTCCCCCAAAAGTTGGCTCAAGTTTTAAAACAATGCTTCACATATACTACCATATTTGGAGCTCAAATAATGGAACCATGAAACACTTGCCGAAAAGTTTCGGCTTAAGTGTACCTTTGCTTCAAACATTCCTCCCAATACCAAAAGAGTAGAAGCGAGTAACCATCTTTATTATCCGGAATATGATCTATCGGCCGCTGAAAGAGTGTCTTCAGCTTGCGATCAGGCAGCAGACTGGATAGAAGAAATTCTTCAAAGTCAAACAATGAACGAACTAAGCATAATAAGGATGATCGATATGGAAAGAAAAACAAATTTTAGCGCACCTAGAAACAAACAGTTCTTTCAATGCTTCAACACCTGCCAAAGCATGGCGTTTTCCAACTTTAGCTGTCACCATCCCTACATTGTCATTTTATCTTGATTAGAAACAAGCTCTCGCAACAAACAAACAAACCCAGCAGATAGAATCTTAATACTTCAGCCCCTCCAAGACAGGAGAAACGAACAGTTAAAAAGTTAATAATCTTGGATACAAACCAGATGAAAAACTAAGTAGGATAAATAAAGTCACAAGGCAGGAGGGTAAGGTCTGCATTCACCCTACCTTCCCTAGACCCCACCTATAGGATCACACTGGGTATGTTGTTGTTGTATGTTGCTGTTGTTTGTTGTTGTTGTACAAACCAGATGAAAAATTAAGTAGGATACATAAAGTTAACAAAACAGAAAGTTATTAAAAATAATCCCAACTTTTAGCATGTATAGCAGCAGGCGAATGAAAGACATATGAATAGGAGGCAAATAAGGGCGATGGAGGAGAGGGGAGAGTTATATGTTTTACTTTGGTTGGTTTGGGGGAAGGGGGAGTTGATAGAAATAAATCTGAACCCCTTCTGCCAAACCAAACGAAGTAAAAACAAAAGAAACTGAACTAGAAAGGAAATATCAAGTAGCTACAACTATGTAATTCAAAACTTTCGTATTATTTCTTTCCTCTTTCCTTAGGGACCAGTCAAGGGGAAGGAAGAAACTCTAACTAATCCTCCTTCCCTTTCAGTGATTCACCTCACATTATCAGTGCAAAGTCTAGACCTTTTCCTTTCGCATGCCACTACACCTAAAAGTAACCTCCTTGATTGAAATAAACATATCTTTCTAGACTCAAAATCTGACAGAATGAATTATTCTTACATTAAAAATGATTAGCTTCCATGAAATGTATTTTCCTGTTGACCACCCATGTTTAACTGTACATAAATAAAACCTCTACAATGACTCAATGAGTGCTGAAAATGATTATCTCTAACTGCAAAGTTCAGCTCTTTATCAGTCATTTGCCTTATTTTTGTCAAGATTTGACTCTGCTTACATTCTTCTTCTTATTCGTGATTTAAAGTATGCAAAATCTTCATCAAATAAAAAGCAGAGGAAATAAACTGTTTTGACAAATGGACTTGAAAAGATAATTTTTTTTTACAGTATATGATACGTAGCAGTTATCACATATAACTATAGCATGAGTAGCCAAGAAAACTCAGGCTGGATAACAAGCCATGGAAGGATTCAGCTATAACCAGCAGAAAGTTCTAGAAGAATAAATACCTAAAAGAGCATCAAGTTATCTCAAATTGGCAGTGGGATTATCGCCAATCATAACAGAAAATGCAGACACTTTATCAGCAGCTGCTCCTGACCTTAGCGTGGTAAGTAACATCTTAATATCTCCACTTTGTCCTCTTGACGACTCATAGTCCATTGCATACTGCGCCAATAACCTCTCCCCCATTTCCTTCTTCTTTTCCACTTACTTTTTCCATTCGTCTAAATTCTTAATCTCAACAGTTTTCTTCTCTCCAATAATTTTATCTTCTAATGCTGCAGCATCAACGTACCATACCCCCGACGCGCTCGCTTTCACAAGCGGAAGCTTAGGCATGTTCTTGTATTTGCTGTGTGTTGTATTCCATAAATTATTGTCGGTTTTTTCAGGTTCGGCTTTAGGCTGCGACCAGGGCGGCTCTAGGGTAAGGCAAAGTGAAGTTCTTGCCTTAGCCCCCAAATATTCCAGGCCCCAAAAATATGAAGTATTACCATATATATATATATATATATATATAATTATTGATAAAATATTTTAAATTCTAATATTTATTTAAATTTGTTAGATGTAGGATTGAATGAGGTACTAGGATAGAACTTTTCTCTTACTAAATTAAATAAATCTTCTCGTCAATTCTATTTTTCTTTCTTTTGTTTTTTATATTTTTTATTATTTTACTTTCTAATTTCAAATCAAATTCTCTAAATTAGCTATTCCTTTTTTGTCACATTTCATAGATCCTGATATATGTAATCAAGTTCTTTTGTGTCTCATTTTTTTAACTAAGAAAACCCGGAGACAAGTATCATAAGGTTCAAAACATGATAGATAATAGGCTCAATCCTTTTACCATTTTCATTTAATGCTATATTTTTTTATAGGGAGTTCAATACCATATGACTTACGCTTAACCCACATGTTATACATTGTTCTCTCACTACTTTTTTTATCTCTATATTATATGGATATTATGAAAGAAATTCAGGATCTTTTAATATATTTGAGGTTTAAGCCACGAGTTCCGAGTCGTCCTCATTAATGATCAACAATTATTTATAGACCACTGCCCATGAACGTGTTATTCAACAGCTTCATTCACATTTGGTAACTAAATGTCACATTTGGTAATTAAATAATACATGTATTGATTGTTGTCTTATTTTAATTGAGCCTCGATAAAATTTGATTGAGAATAGCATGGGGGATGGACATGTGGCTCGATTAGGAGACTAGTAAAGCTTTAATTTAGGTCCCCCAAAATTTTTTAATAATAGATTTTATGGTTTTATTTCAAGTTAGACAATATTAAAGTTTGCAAAACAAAAAATTAAAAAAAAAACAATAAACCTTGGACAAAAGAAAGAAAGAAAGAAAGAAAGAAAGAAAGAAAGAAAGAAAGAAAGACTATCTACTCTTTAACCCTAAAAATATAAATTACTTAGATCTTCATATTAGTAAATATATTTTTTACAACAAAATCAAAGGTAAAATATTAAAAATACATGTCTTACATCCAATTTATTTAAGTTACTTCTTACTAATATAAATAATAATACTACTATGTAAAGTTAAAAGTTTCATCATTTAAGCATGTTATGCTATAAATAACAAGTATGAAAAAATGACAATACTATCTCTCTTTTTTTTTTTGGTATATGTGTGTGTATATATACTAATAAAAAAGTATATGACATCTTATTAAATTACGCTTTAGGTCACAAATTTTATGGAGCCGCCATTGGCTGCGGCTTGGGATTTTTTCCAAATTTATCGTTGTTATTGATTTTCTTTTTGTTGAACTTGTTTTCCTTTCCATGTTGAGAGTCATTCTCGGTATTGGTATTATTATCATCTGTAGGTGGTTGTTTGTGGGGTTTGATGCGACCTTTTTTGCGGAAGTCAGAGTCGTCAAAACTGGAAGACGGCGTGGAGGTGGCAAGACCGAGTGAAGAAGCGAAAGAAGCTACATCTGACTGGAGTGCTTCAATGTAATTTTGGAATTTTTAGCCTTTGACATTGCAAAGAGAAGAGAGTTGCAGGAGGGTTTGGAAAGGGTTTAGTAAAAGAAAAAAATTGAACCGGCCAAAATTATGAAACTGTTGCTTGTACTCTGTGCTTCTAAAGTTATGCTAAGCAATTGGATTTTCTATAACCGCTGTAGCTATTGGGCCTCCTCTAGCGTTTACAAAGATTGGTATTGGGCCATCTAAAAAATCAGAAGTAGCCTAATTTACAACTGATAATTGAAAAGTAGCCATAATTTTAAAAGTAATTACAATTTAGTCACTTTTTTATGTAAAGATAAGATTTAAACAAAAATAATCTTTAAAATCCAGAAAAATTCTAGCATAATATGTTGGAGTTCGAATTTTGTACGTATGAGATTATGACATAACGTGTTGGAATTTCATAATATGCTCGAACTTTATACTTAGGAACTCCAAAATCCAGCATATTATGCTGGAACTTTTTGTGTTTCAGCTAAAATAGTGAATTTTTAAAATTACTTTGCAAATGCTAACTATTTTTAATTATCAATCTGAATACTGGCTAGCCCATACAATTTTGCCTAAGTTAATTGAAAAGTAACCACAATTCCCGATTGATTTAAATTTAGCCACTTTATAATAAGTTGAACAAACATATCCTCAACTAAACAACAAAACTCTAGTTTTTTTCCCTGCTTCTTCTTTTTCACTTTAATATCCCCTATAAAGCTCATATGAACATTGTGGGAAAAGTAACACATATCTATCTATCTATATTATTATAAAAGTAGGAATCCTTTAACATAAAAGTTGAATTACCAAAATGCCCTTCTTAAAAACCTCACTAATCTAAATAATATTCTAAAAAACAACCAAGTCAACGTTTCATGTTCTTTGTTAAAAGTCACAACCGTTCCTTTTTGTATTCCATTCACAAAATGGAGATGAAAAGCTACAAAACCCTATACAAATGAGATCCATAGTAAAAAAAAACGACAAACTCATAGCCATACATTAGTTCGTAAGAGTTCTTTAATTTTGCGCCCGAAAATAAAAGTTAACAATGATCTTCACACACTATCCTCGACAAACAACGTCGTGATACATTTTACGATGGAGTTTCAACGTGTTTAGGTAAAGAAGATTTCATCAATTTTCAAGGAAAAAATTTATATGTGTCAGCACCATTAGAAGTTTCGACATGTTCCATTATTTACAATGGTAGTTTGGTTTTCTCATTCACATAATGTCCTTGTAGTTTTAATTAACTTTCTCTAATGGAAAAGGACCTTTCCTATATTTTTATTTTTTTTACCTATAAAGTATTTGTTGGTGAACTTTATGTCTTTCTCTGTACATACCACCTTGTTGAGATTCTTTTTAGATTGACAGAGTTAAGAGACTTCCAATTTCCAGTTTAATTGATAAACATAGAATAAAAACTTTTAATATATTTCTTGTTTGATTTATGGTTTAGGGTGATTCGTCTTAAAATTTGTGGAAACTCGTGAATTATTTAATATTCTACCATTACAATAATAAAAATGTTATGAATGATAGTATTGATATGTATTAAGCACTAAGTTGTTAAATTAAAAAAGTAAGTATGTGTACTTTGTCATGCTACTACCTTAAAAAAATTCAATAGTGCATAAGTTTGAGATACATGAATAT